CCATACTCAAAAAGAGGCTCAGAGCAGGAAAGCATTGATGCCCAGTCAACTAGCAAGAAAAGACCTTTTCCCACCTCCAAAAATACACCAGTTAAAGTTAACCTATGCTGAACTGGAATCTAAGCACGGACTTGCTACATCCAGAATGCTGCTCTTGGATGTCTGTCTGGAGTTTACTTTAAAAAAGTTAAAAAAATCAACCAACCAAACCAAACAAAAAAAAAAAGGCAAGGATGTTGCAACAGTCAATGATCAGTTCATCAAATTTTGCCTGAGAAAAGTTATTCTCAGAATAGTAAGCAAGGAAGTTGCTCATAAATAATAATTCCTGAAAATAAACCTACAACTTCTGAAGTGAATGATACCTGTAGCCTGAAGGTATCAACCATACTAAAAACTAAAAAATCACCATGAAGAGATAGAGGAAAATATAAATTAAAGTTAATCAAATTGCCCATGCTGCTACTCAGTAAAGGATGTATTTTTCATCTGACTGTTCTTATCGCATTATAATAAATTCCTTCTTTAGCTGGAATCACTTTTCTAAAGCACAAAGTTTCTGATTTTCAAGTATTATACCAATGTACACTTTAAAACGTACATGAAATAAGACTGTCAGAATATAATATGCAAGATAAAAATTCAAGTACAAATTTATCTGAAGATCTGGAAAGTGGGCCTGAATACTAGAAGATCAATCTTCTTTTTGGTATCTTGTCTATCCTGGATTTTGACTGCTCTAGATGTTTTAATGATACTACAGTTTATTTTTTTTAAATAGATTTTAATAAAGTGGCCAAAGAGAAATTATAAAACATATATTTTTTAAATTAAAAAAAGAGGTTACTTTTATGTCACAATTAAAAATAACTCCTGCACTTATGGACAACATGAAGCAGAAAACAGCTTGCTTTTATGAAATTTGGTGATATAAGTATTTCTCACATAAAAATGACTAAATATAAAATATTCTTAATATTAATAAAATTAGCAACATTTTAAGTTCTAACCACGAACTTCTTCAAATCAAGGGAAGGGGAGGGAGGTACAAATCCAAACCTTCCCATTGTTGATATTAAACGCACTGCTAAATTATGACACAGACAATAATTGGGATGTACTCACTTTAGCTAACTGCAACAGATACTCAAAAGCTATTCACTTTCTGCCTCTCTCAGATCTTCTTTAAATGATCCATTTTGACCCACTAACATATTATTAGATTACATAAATAAAATGGCTGCTCCCCTGAAAAAGAAACTGCCTTAACAACGTTCAGAGATGGAATGGTTCTGGTGAAACCCATAGTTGCAACTATAGCTCAACTGATTTAAGGAGAGGATGTAATTAAACAAGAAAAAGGTTTCACGCAAAATTTTTGTAGTAGTGAATTTTTTCATCAGAACTGGAAATAACGTATTAGAAAGCAATCACAACATACACATGCTATAGGTGGTTGCTACAAAATGTTGTTTAAGGGGCATGTCTGCAGTCTGCTACATGTGGCCTCAAAATACACTTTTAACACATTTTAACATATTTACACTTGCACGCATCTGCCATTTTACGCTAGCATTTCCATCAGCCTTTTAGAACAGCAAGCAGCTAGGGTCTGGCTGCACATCGGGCTGGTATCATTCATTCAGACAATGTACAGATGGGATGAGGTGAGAAAAAGAACCTGGGCAGGAGTGCGAGGGCTAGGTGGTATGGTGTTTTAAAATATAGGCAAGACAAAATAAAACAGAGTAGAATAATAGAGTAACAGCATGGGGCAGCACTTTGCTAAAGTAAGCTAGCAAGAACAATGAGCAAGTTCAAAATTACGGCCTCAAACACAGCTTGAAAACATTTGTCATGCATATGCAGTATTACCAGAGCACCAGAAACACCATATAGACAATCTATCTCTATGCTACCTATAATGTAATCGTGTGAATGGAAAACAAGTAGACCATTGGCTATAGTGAGAGAACAGACACCTAGTACGCAATTCAGTGCCTATATAACAGCATTTGAAGTACCCTGATGACTGTAAGACGTCCAAACAGCACTGACACATGGCTATGGTGAAGCCAAGCAAGACACTCTACGGTATCTCATACAGCACTAAGTGCTTCTATTTGGGCAGCTGAACGGGGCCTTCATTCACATGTGCGCACCTACATCTCAGCATCTAAACACAGATGTCCTCACCAGCAAGGTGGATCCCATCCAATATGTGCATATTGACACAAACAATGCATTCTAGGAATAAAACATTCCTTACCCACCCTTTAAAAAGTATAAAAGCGTATACAGCAGTGACCCAAAGAGCCAGTTCTCTCTTCTTATCTTGTCAAAACAACTCTGTTACAGGGATTATGGCTGGGGCTTGTCTCTTCCCAGCTATTGGGAATCTGGCTACTGGTGTCTCAGTGCTTGCTGGGATATGTCCTGTCTAGGTCATCATTTTACTTTTCCCCTTTGTTTTCTTCAAAAGTTAATCTAGTTCCACCGCAAGTAACATGTAGAGCTACTCATGAGGCACCCAGTACTATAGTTGCAGAAAATAAAGTTTTCCCAGGTTATCACATCTTCATCATATTTTTACTGTACTAGTATAGATCTGAAGTTAGAATAATTATTTCAACCAGGATACTATACGCTTTAAACAAATACGCCTCACTAACATCAGGTAGGACAGTATCACTGATACCATTTGCTCTTAAAGGCAAAAAATTGTATTTGAGCTAAACAGCCAAGTTCTGGGGAGACACTCCCTCAAAGCTAAACACCATTCTTCACCCTGCAGTGAGCACCAAACTTCAAAGTTTACTTGACACTTACTCTTCTTTTATGGAGACTGATGCAAATGATCAGATGATCCACTGGCCAGACTGCTGACTATACATACAAGAGTACTGCTGATATCTTTTCAGGAAGATGAGGAAAAAGGGATTTGGGAAGATTGCTGGAACGGCTGAACGCAACATCGCATGCTGCAAATGCATGATTAATTTGATTAATTAAGAATGGTATTTTCCACATATATTGAAAGTAGTAACCAACTGGGTAAGCCTCTCTATCGCATCCCTCCTTCTCGTTTGTCTTAATAAACTATGATAGCGTGGAACACAATGTCCATCATATTGAGCTTGAGACAAATTCTTATTTTACAGGCTATATCGATTTCAGCGTAGGGAGTTCATGAAAGACAATGAAATTGTTGCCAAGATAATGAAAACTGGTGATGAAAAGATACTATTATTAATACTATTGAGACATACTCAGTATAGCAAAAAATTTACTCCTTGTCTGCCAACAAAATACAGCCAAAGAAATAAGTTTCTTATGACTGACATTTGTTTTGATCACTGCTGCCTGAGTTAGATGCTGAAGATGCTGAAGTTAAAGGAACAATTCTCCTCTAAGCATAGTGCAACCAGCTATTGCAGGACTGCCAGCCATTTCAGAAAACAACAATTAACTGAAGTCATGGGTTTTGATCTTTTGAGCAATACTAAACAGATACTCAATACCTCAAATTTCTTGAGGAAAAAAAGGCAATCAGAAGATAAAATTGGTCACCTTTCACTTATTACATAGAAGTTAAGAGAGAGGTAAAGTGGGATAACAGAGAGTAAAGGGGAAAGGACACTTTGCCTTGCTTCCTTGATAAGCAATATTTTTAGTACCTTGTAAGTACTTCCTGAGGCTTCCAGGTGGGAGTCCAATGCTTATGCTTCACTGACAGGGAATATGAAATGGTCATTGAAAAATAACTTGCAATCATATAAAAAGATGGCAGCACCACATCCTGCCCACATTCCTGAATAAAGAATTTCACATACTCTTCCATTCCATCTCCCAAACAGATTTTCTGCAAGCCTTTCAGTGCTGCCCCGTTCTTCTATCACTCTGACAAAGAAAAGAACATTGAAATGTATACAGCACTTATGCTGTACCAACAAACGTCCATATCATTGCACTCCATGTTAACTTCAGCCTTCTTTATACACTGCCATGCCTTGCCTTACTTTAAAGGCAAGTGCTTGTGGCAGCAACCTGTCATGTGTTATTTGTCAGGTAAGTAACATGCATACCTGTGGTGCTCTATAAATAGCAACTATTTTGAACACTACATTTATTTTCTTGCCCAAGGGTGAGATATAACGTGTAATATTACGAGCAAGACCTTGATTGAAAACCGATTACCTCAAATTAGCTTGGTGAACAGATTGAAGGAACACAACAAAAAGAGACAGCAGAGAAGGTAAATTAAGATCATAATAAGGAATGAAAAAAAGGGAACAGGAATAACGGAGGGGAACTTAAATTTTGAATTAGCACTGAAATAAAAATATCTTCCAGAGACTCTGAAATACATCTCAAATGCAGTGAAAAAAACAGCAATGACTCAGGGTGGTTTGGCAGTGACGTTCTCTCTCACTGCTTCAACAGTCTGCCCTACTAGACCTGGAACCGCCAGTGTGAAGAGCAGAGGGCTGACCTTTGTGATAAGCATCACGGATTCACAGAGTACCTATATACTACTGGCAATCAGAAAGTAAGAAGGTGAATGAGGCTAAGAATGAAAAACTGAAAACCGCATTTTGTATTTTGCTATATGCATGACAGACATACATAGGCCAAGCTCAAAAGCCTGACCAGTTTTTCCACATAACTATTGCTCTGCTAAAAGATGCTCATTTTTCCTTTTTCTTCTCTACTTGCGCTCATACTTGCAGCCTTTTAGAACTGACTAAAACGACAACTTTTATGATCAGATCATAGATTATATTTTGTAGCAAATTACTTAACAAACATATACTTGAAATAACGCAGTCACAATCATTTACAAAGATTTAAATTGCTTGCCATAGTTCACGGTCTAGCTGTCATAACCTGAACACATCTCACTTGGTTGACATAACTTGATCTTTAAAATGGTACTGACATTTTGCAAAGAGGAGAGGAACAAAGGAAAAACTTATTTCTCAGAAAAGCATGGAACCCACCTCCATTAACTCTATTTGGTTGCTGCTCTGGAATTTGGGCTTGAGGAGAATAATACGGCTGCTGATAATTATTTGAAGGGAAGTGCTGGGAAGTAGGGCTTCTCCTGCAGTCCCGAATACTGGAGAAAGTCTGTGAGTGTGGAATTCCTCTTTGGAAGGGGGAACAGCGAGTGAGCCGAGGCTGCGGAGGTGGGAGGTGGTCAAACTCTTCTTCGTCCTCAAGACTATAGCGATCATAGTCCTGATCGCTGCCTGTCCCTTTCTTTCCTGAATGCAGAGATACACTTGAACTGTGTCTCGAGACAGATGCTGAAGTAGAAGCATAATCTTGTCTAAGGCCTGTAAATTTCAAGGAGAAGATTATTCAGTTTCTGCTAAGTGATTAATTCTAGCATACGCTTTAATCTTGCAAATTAAACAAGTAATTAGACATAATTTTACAACGAACTCAATTTACAATGTTTCCAAGCTGAAGATCTGAGGTAGAATTCATTTGATCTAATTTTAAGTGTCTACCTTTTAGATGCCTAAGTCTCATCTACTTCCCTCGAGAACACTGTTCAATTTAAAAAAAAAAAAAAAAAAAAAAGGACTAGCATCTCCAAAATGCCTGGACGCATTTTGCATCTCCAAAATAGCTCCATAGATCCAGAGCTATCATAGATTCGTCTCAAAATAAGGTCAATAGCCCTCAGAAGGTGCTCGTTTCTCTGCCAATAAAAAGACTACATAATTATTATGTATAACTTTTAAACACTCTAAATTAGAGGAGTTAACTCTCATTTGTCTATTACTATTCCAAATTATCACTATTACACTTTTACAGTAATGAAACAAAATGCTAATAAGGCAATGACATTTGCTAAACACAAACTCTGCGTAAATATTCTGGCTCTCCAACTTCTCTGAAGCAGAATTAACTCCTGGTATCATCTGTTATTACGGCAAAGGCTTAGTGGTAACACTCGTACGTTAGATACATATGCATTTCACCAACCTTTTTCAGAACTTCAGGTTTTAAAAACTATCCCACTATTAGCACTGCCCCAAAGAGCCTGTGTGCTCCAGGTCAAGGGAGAGGCAAGCACCCACAGCCCTTGTATATCCTTCTTTTCCCATACTGCATCACAGTCAGCCCTGGAATACATCGTGTTTCCAAGGGCTGAGCAATTCTGTGAATAGCTGTGAATAACTGCACCTTCAGATGCAGTTACAAAAAGCACTCAGCTTTGGCAGATGTCTTTGGTATCATAACGGAAATTTCTTAATGTGCTTTTTTTCCCCTCCTTCAAGTGGGAGTTTCTACTTATAGACATGAAGAGAGTGTGCCTCCATGCACGTATAATACTATCACTTTCCGAAGGATTAAGCAGCTAGCCAACAACTATCATGTGTTCAAACATTCTGTATTGACGGCTATTACAAAAATGAGATACAACTATCCTTCGAATAGATTAAAAGGAAAACATGTATTTTTCCTTACATTTTACCAATGACCTGATCTGTTAAAGAGCTAAGTACGTGAAGTCTTTTTCAAACCTTACTCTGAAAGAGAAGAGCACAGCTGTCATTTAGGTAACACAATACTTCTCATCTTTGATAGTGATAAAAATTTTTTTGAATTCTTATCACTTGCACATACCATCAGAAATTTTCCAAGTTCTGACCATACACATTTGCCAGTTGACAATGCAGCTATCTTGGAAAGTCTCACAATTCCTAATTTCCCTGGCAAACATAACTAGCGCTACCAGATTCTCAGCAAGTTCAATTGCTGATAAGTGATGACTTTGGCCTGTTCCATCTGGTTGCTCCAGCCAGATCTGTTTTATAATTTCTTGTTCCCATTTTCTTTTTTCATTTAGTCACTTATTATCTTGCAGTTTCCTTCAGTCATCAGCTCCATATTTCTCTTGTTTTTATCTCATTGTTTCCTCTTTTATGTCTTGCTTGGCACTAACAGGAAGGCAAAAAGATACTGCATTTATTGTCTCAGTGACTTCTAAGCAAAGTGCCTTTTATTTATGAAGAAATTTATGGAAAATATATCAAGCCAACCTGTGATCTATGTTATACAAGCCTCAGATTTGTGCATAATCACTAGTCTCAAATCAAAGTGTTCAACTTAAAATGTCCAAATTCAGGATTTAAAGAGGAATTCATTTCAAAATTCACCTGATAAAAATAAGCAGTTCTCATTTTTGCTCATACTTTGAATTGTTTAATTAACTTTTTCATTAAATGTATGCATGAAAAGGATGCTTCATTGTCTCCGCTCCCCCCAAATAAACTAATTTTAATTTATTTGGTAAGACATTATAAAACAGCTAAATCTAAATGTACTCAGTGGGTATGGAGCTACCAGTATCAAGTTTGAAAAGATCCAGCACCCTTAACCTGAACTCAACAACTTGCACACCTCCTCCTTGCAAATTAAAGGGAGGTTTTTCTGCCTGCCAACCGAGAGGCCACATTCTTTAAGAAAGATCTAATTGACTGAGATCAGACATTAGCAGTTTTGGCTGTTATGGGAAATTTTTCTGAGACTATTTTAAAAAAAGTTAAGAAAAAAGCCACTTACTCTCTTCCTGTAGACGAGCCATGATCTGAACATCAGTGAGGTCCTGCAGTTTGTATCCCATGGAGATGGAATCATCCTCCAACTCTGAGGTGCTCAGTTCACTGTCTATTGATGACTGTGGACTCAAAGGGGAACTTCTAGAAGTGTAACCTATACAAGAACACATAATCTTTAGTCTGTGAATAAGTATGGCAATTTTTCGTAGACAGCTAACTGCCCTTTGTGATTCAATAGCTTAAAATATTTTCTATATAACAGATAAAAACTTTCAGAAGTATAGAGCAATTTACTAACAATTAGCAAAGAGATTTGATACTCATGAGATACAGTAAGTGCAATACTGGATCACGAATTTTTCTATTCCCAAAGTAGTGTTGTGTAGCCCACACAACAAATAATTTACCCAACACAGTTCTGATACCTCAGACTATTAGCATAGTAAACTAAACGCATCTGCATGTCTCCCTCTTGTGAGACTGTGGTTCTTTATATTCTGTTAAATTGTTGTGTATATGCTACCAACTTCTGCTGGAAGTTCATTACTCAGATTCCATATCACAGCCACTCGCCTAAGTTTTACTAAGGTTTTTTTTTTAATTTTTCATAATCATCAGAGAAACAAGTGATAACAACCACAAAGACCAAACTAGGCATTATGCAATAACAGAGGAAATAATGCCTCCTTCACAGATCTAACTATGGGAAAGGCCTATTGATTCCTGCACAATAATAAAAGTATATATTAGTTAGTCAAATGGGTGCAGGTCCACTGAGAACCGGAGCTGGGAGGAACTGAGGCTCATGCTTTCAATGCTCTTTTTCACTAGGGGTAAGAGCTAGCGTTCGCCCAGCTTTAAAGAAAACTTCAAATAAAAACGCAAATCATTTTATATTATCCTTTGGACCACCAGAGGCCCAGAGCCTACAATGTGAGAATCACTGTGACAAAAGTTCTAAAGCTGTGCTTACATCGCAGACGTCCTGGTACCCTCTAGCACTGCACAGGACATTCACCTGAAATTCATCATAAATTCAGCTGTTCTCTGATACTATCTCCAAAAAAAGCACATCCAGAGGCTTGTTTTGCTTCAGGAATGACTGTAAGGGGTGAACATGTTCGCTTTTTTAAATTTGCAAGTTACAATACTCCTTTGGGACTTGCAGAGGTAAGAACACCTGTACTATTTTGGAGCAGTAGTCGAAGGCCAACGAGACACCTGAGGGTGTCTCAAAGTATTAGATGCCTTTGCTCAGGCAGCTGAACTATGCCCCATTGAATAGGGGAGCTTAGTCTAACTCCCACATAGACACCCACATTAGGTGTTCAGAGTCTGCAGCTGTATCCCACCCTCAATGACCTTAATAGGGCTTTCTGCACTGATTTCAGGCACTGTAAAGAAGATGGTGCACAGATCACTGTGACACTGATGCTAACTTCTTTGGACCACAGCTGCTACTGCCTACAATCAAATGTTAAATACCTCTTCCCCAGAAGATTATTTTCTCTACTGCTGCTGCAGTTTAAGAGAAGTCACAGACATAAATTGACTCCTGATACCTGCACCGAAGGAAAAAAAATAAATAAATAAAATGTAACTCTGCCATTTACAACCCACAGGAAGTAAGATTTATGTTCTTTCTAAACTTCCTTAGTATCCCTTCAAAACTGGTAGTAAAAGAAGAATAAATCTTTGATAGTTGTAATAAAGCCAGACTAAAAACAGCCATGCTTTTGCTGGCTATTTTTATAGTCAATACATTCTCCATGCAACTTCACTACAAGGCTGCACAATTGTTTCTGTAGACAAAAAGAAAGGGGACATTGGGGTAGGAGTGAACAGTGAAGGGGAAGGCTGAAAAGGCTGGGGACTGTCTAAGTTGACACTGTTGCCAATCACACTCTTACGTAATCCATCAGCGAGAGCCAGGTTCTGCTTATTAGCACCACTTTTCTACAACATACTGCATAACAAAGAAGATAACCTCTAACCTTAATTGTTAATCGTCAAATTTTAGGTCATCCTTCTTTTAAAAATTTCCCTCAGAGATGAGAGTCTATTACAATCATTTGTAGAGTGCATTGCAGTTAAATGGCAGCATGATTAGATTTAATTAAGCAATTTTATAAGCTCTATAAGTCAATAAAAAGTTAAGAATTACCTGTCCGTTCAGGTGTTAGTATTGCTTTACTGGAGGTTTTAGAGAAGCTGGGACTATTAAAGCCATTGGTATATGGGGTGAGTCTTGCAACAGGGCTATAGGGAAAAGCCAAGGAGACAGGTGTGGAGAAGAGGTTCCGCCATCGGCTAGCTGTTACAGATGTGAGGGAGAGGGAAAAAAAGATTTATAGTTATAAACAGAATAGTGCTTTTAGAGTGCAAATCATCTAATCAATCTCTTCATTATATCTTGTTTACTTATGGCAAAAATGGAAAATAATGTCCAAAGCTCAGCAACAAAATAGAGGATTAGCAGAGCCTTCTACATGCAAGAGTATGTTCCAAAAAGTTTTCTAGGAAATATGCCTTATTTACCTTTTTCTGTATGTACACCTTTTTAATATATTATTCTCCTATATCACTGTATGTCAACACACTAAGAAACAGAGGAAGTAAGAACCATTCATTACAGTTAATAGAGAAACTCCCAAATGAAATTTGCAGTGATCTTCAAGAAACTGTTCACGGCAAGCAGTCATCACACAACTGAATTATCAGCTATGAGAGTTCAGAGATACAACAGTAAATTATGCCTAACCATCAAGTGTTAAAAACAACTGTAATCCCATAGCAATCTTTTAAGCTACATGCCATATTTTTCTTTTTTTTTTCTTTTTTTTTTTTTTTTAAACTGCATCAAATTCGTGATTACACAAGCATGAACTTTTTCCACTGTTTTTTGAGGATCAACCAAACAATGGAACAGGGTATCTCTTTTTCCATAGATTACTTGCAGTAAGGTTGCAAGGCATCTGGTCTGTTCGGCTACATCACAATAGGCAAAAGCTAAAGGCTTATTTAATTTACATTTTCTTAGCCCGTTCGGGAAAAAATTAATAAATCTGTAGTTTGGTTTGCTTATTTTTTAACATATGTTCAGAAGGCAAAATATCCATCCATAACAACATCCATATGCTCTTAAGAAAATAAGTATTACAAATAAAAGCCATTATAAGTAAAAGGAAAAGGCAAAAATACAAAAATGTATATTTCAATTAAACCGTTCAGATACAGGCAGGCACGTACAGACGAAAAACGAAGGATTCTATCACTATTTGCTTGTGACAGAATCTGTTTTGTCCTGAGAGATGTTATTCACATAGATACAAAGGAAGAAGGTAGGAACATATGCCTCACTTAGAAATCAATGGAGTAACTTCAATGCTTAACAGGGTGCACTGCTGTGTCAGATGCTGCAAACCAGCTTTCAAAACCAGAAGGGTTCAAAAGCTAAGTCTCCAGCATATGGTTAATTCATATCACAGATCTGCTGTTTATTTGGACCTGCTGATCCAGTTGTCTTAAACACTCACAGATACTCAAATTATATTCAGTCCCTCTTTATTTTAAACATCTACCCATCACCAATATGATTTACCAGGACATATGAGCTTTATTCTTTCTTCTCGTCAACATTAACATAGTGGGTGGCCACGGGAACAGAAGGGAAGCGTATCCTATTGGCAGGTCCTCAAATTCAGGGTTCCCGCCTTTTAGGGCAGTTTGTCAGCCCACCAAAAGATATTATTTCCCACCAAAACCTTTTACTTTGTCCCGCTCAAAGGTATTCTTGGGTTTGTAAGGGAAAACCAGCCTTTTCCACTCTTCCCACTAGCGCTGCTAAACTTAGAATACAGGAAATATATATATATTCCTGTATAGAATACAGGAAACTGTTCAGTCTTAGCACCAGAACAAAGCAGTCTGCAATGGAAAGGAAATAATGGCAATGCTCAATCTCCGTAGGAGGGGGCTAAAGAGTAACAAGACATAAAAATTCAAATTGTGATCTTTGTTGTCACCCCATCAAAGAATTATTGCAATTCTCTAATTTTTCATGATGTTGATCCCTTCAAGCCTAAAAAAAAAAATTTAAAGCTCTGGCATCATATCTAGGAGTTGCATCAGTACCACTCTTAGAAAATTGCTCAACACCTAGCAACGCTGCTATTTCTTCCAAATAGTGCCATTTGTCCTTAACATTCATTAAAGTGATCAGCTTGAAATTCAGGCATGCAAGTGCCACAGGACAAAAAGGAAAGCAAACACAGATGAACATTACTCTATAAAATATTAACTAACACAACAGTTGGGGACCAGTTTCAGCCACAAAGAGCTAAAAGGTATGAATTGATTTGAAACATTCAGTTAAAGAAATACACATGACAGTCTTAAAATCATATCCACAGCTAACATTTGTCACTTCCGCTACAAGTTATCAATAAGGAGCAAAGTTCCTTGCAACTCTATTCTTCTGTCTTCACACAAGGTTCTGTTTTGTAACCATTTGATCATTTGCCAGGCCAATTAGCTGCCTGCATGTCCTCACCCACAGATGTGGTCAACCGTATAGCACAAATAAACATCATTCATTACTCTGTACAATAACCACTATGAACAGGCCTACCAAGCACAAAGCAACAGTTATTGTGACTATGAAAGCAAGAACCCACACTAAGAACATAACTAGCATTTATGGTAAACAAGATTCCAAATTATTCTTTCAAGCATGCAGTCTCAGAAAAAGATGGAAGAGGAAGTGAATATATTCTAGAGATACACGAGACTAAAATAACCCCTGACTCTAGAATTATTGGCTACTATGTCTATTTAAATTTCAGCAGAGGATTGACATTTCATACTTACGGTTAACTCCATTGTTTAGAAACAAGGACAGTAAAATATTTTCATGAGGTATGAAATGGAAATTTAAAAACAAAGTAGATACTGAATATGTCTATAATATTAACAAAGATAGCAAAACTACATTTTAGACTAAAGTCTTTAGCTATGCCAAAAACATAAAAAGTACATAGGAAGCAAGTACTACATACTTCTAAGAAAATACATGAGAGAAATGCAAAATTTATAAAAATCACAGATTTGTGCAATGGATATTATTTTACTCCAACCTGATTTTGAGACTGTCCAGCACAGTAAAACATCACTATCGTATGCAAGGATTTGCATTTTATTAACTGTCGCATGTAGGCTATCTCCAGAAAAGGAGACAATGTTGTTAAGACCTTCATTTTAAATTTAAAAGCACAGCTGGTCAGCTCTCTATTTTATAACATTTGTACCTTTTTCTTAAAGCTGCTTGTCCACAGACCATGTAAGAAACCCACCTACCCTTAACAAAACAAAGCAAGTTTCTAATCCTTGTAGCTGAACAGAAACATGAATAAACCTGCCCTGAGTACCTTATATCGAAGATGTACTGAAGAAAAAAATCATCAGCCGTGGAAAGGAAAGCAGGGATACATAGAGAATCATCAAGACAAAACAGAAGGAAAATCCATTTGATTCACTGATGGTAAAGAGGTGAATGCATTAACAATTTGATTTTTTGAGGCATGAAGCTGTTTATGCTCTACAACACAATTACTACGTGTCCCGGTCTTCAAAGTCTACAATTAGATCAGAACTGTCCATCTTTTTGGATATGATTGTCTTGATCTTGATCAATTCTCAGAACTGGATTACTAACAATATATTGTGTTCTACAATGGCTACTATAATATTTAAAACAAAGGCTACATAATCATATCCTTTAAAAAACAAAACCTTTACTTTAAAAAAATAAAACAGCAGCAAGAGGTCTGTTCATAACTTTAAAATATTTACTAACACAATTGAAAGTTTACAAATAAAGTAAGACCTTATTTTTATAACTTCCCTGAAGATCTCAAATATTGGCCATATCGACTCTTGTTGGTAACTGGCATACAGTAAGAACTGATGAAATATCTCACGTGAAAACTTGAACAAGAAAGCAGATCTACAAAGTTGCATAGCTCAGAGGGAATGGAGCACACCAGCACATGACGTGTCTTCCGTTTTTCATATCTCTATTATTTTTGGGAAGTTCTAATAACCTGTATCAGTTTGGCTAAATTCTGTAACATGGTAATTCACTTTCACTCTAAACCACACAAGTAAGTATTTCTTTGCCATACAGAAAAAATACATGGTCATGAAGTCATACATGTGTTATACAACTAACTAGCCATACTAAATTTTATCCAAGTTTCTAGCTAGCTTGTTTATCCTCTCAATTAGCTTAAATTTTACATAAGACTTCAGGTCATATTCAAAAATACTCTCTAGACTTAAGTTAAAAAAATAAATTAAATCTCATATATTCTCATACTTGAAGATGGATACTAATTACATAACTCTGCGTAAAAATTCTCTTTTAAGCCAACAATAGGAGGAGGATTTACAAGACTGTCAATCCAGCAAGTTCAAAACCGTAAGTCAAGATAAATCCAAGAGTAAACGAAGTTGTAGGTCTTGCTCTGCACTGTGGTCATGTTCTACCTCCGTACAAGGGCAAATACCACTTCCCTACTGACACTGTTTCCTCAGCGAAAGAAACCCAAATCACGTCCTTTGTGTGCTCTCCGTATGTGTGGCTGTGCAGCAGTTATGCTTAAAAGTGAAATACCTGCTTCAGAAGTGAAATTCACAATCCTGCATCAGAAAAAGAGTATGTATGTACAGTCCTTAGGTCTGCTTCACAGAGTGAGATATTCATCTTCTGTATTCAAAATAGAAGATCTGTAACATCTTTTATCTTTAGGGTTTATTTGGAGCGTATGTTTCCAAGCTTTCTTCTGCAATTACAAGTCCTAAAAACTTACTCTTTTTTTAAATTTGAATTTTTACTAGTTATATGACTACCAATTCCAGGACTGAGGAAATATTCTGCATGACGCAGAATGGCAACGTTTTGCTCCAGCAATTAACTATATGTAAGAGTACTGAGTTGCACTTGCAAAACTGGAAGTCAGTCTGGGACTTGCATACATTCCCATCTTTTTGAATGTTATTGTACAGTGAATGTCTTGACTTTCCAGGCAGCACCCTGTTACTTCCAGATTAGCAGTCTCCCCCAGTCATCAGCCATGGCTGTTTCAACAACTTGTTTCAGCACTTAGCTCAGTGGTTTCATAACCATAGCAACAAGTCCCTCCATCAGCCAGTCAGCAGTAGGAACTTTGCCTGGAGCACAGAGCCACATTTCATCTGCTCAATGTACATTTTCAGTCACTTTGAATCTGTCACTGTCTGAAACTCTTTCCTTGT